AAATTTCATATTAAACATCTTCAATTTTTAAAACTATCTGAATAACTGAACCTTTAGAATTGAAGTTTATACTAAAAAAACTTAAATCCTGTACAATCTTGTCTGAGATTAAATTTTTTGGACACTGGATTTGAAAACTCAGCATTCATTGTTTGAGGAGACATTGCAAGAAACAAAAATTTCTTAACTTTTTGCAAAACTGAATATTTTCTAAGCTAATGTACAATGGGCGTGGGGCTTGCTTTTATGTTGTTTTCCTCCTTAATCACTGATTGATTTTTTTTAAGCCATGCTAGGCTCTTTGAATAGTATTATTTTTATTCAAAAAAACATTGTACTTGTTAATACAAGCATGCTAGCATTGTCATTGTGAGTTAGCATATTAATGTTAGCATTTCACTCAAGCCAAAGTAAAGCCTCGCAGTAACAAGCTGTAGTACCTCAAATGGGAATTTGTATTCAATTTAGCAAAACCCCTTTCAAATTAAATTCAATACACCAAGTAATTGTTCTAACTACTGAAACAAACATCCTGTTATTTAACAGTTATCATTTAAAAGAAAAAAATCAATGTAATTTTAGAATGAACTTTACAAATAGTGGCTCAACAGCATCGTTCAGGTTCAGGTGAGGAGCTTGACCAGCCTGTGATGGATTGCTTTGCAGACCTCTATGACTAATAGCCTATATCCCTAGGCCTGCTTTTGTCCCGAAGCACAAGGGAAAATACCTCTATGCTTGTTTTGCCCACTCGCCAGCACCCCTCCACCCAGGCCACCCTGCCCCACCCTTGCATCCTCATCCCCTTACCTCATCCCCCTTCCTCTGCTGCTCTTTCATTCATTCTTTTCCTTTGTACTGTGAGATGCAGAGAGGAAGAGAGGGACGGTGGGAGGGTAGGAGAGGGACCTTTTGTTGGCTTTCAGGTGGTTTCACATGAAAAGCCAGAGTACACACCTAGGTTACCGCCGCTGGTGACCCAAGTCGTCTCACTTGCTTCCACTGAGAATACCTGAGTTAGCCTTGGGTTGCTTCTGTGCAGCCCAAATCGGAAAATCCATATTTATTGCCAAGTATGCACAAATATTAACAAGGCATTTCATCTGTATTTCTGTTCAAGTGTGTAGAAATAAACACACACTTCTGTTGAAGTTTGGTTCCCCTAATTGATTGTAGGGTTACTGGTTGTGTTGGATGTCCAGTGGTAAGGTGGAAAGGAGCTTTTGGGAGTAGTTGTATGTATTGGGTAGGTTGATTGCACGGCTACTTTGTCTTTTCTCCCGCTGAATGGACTCTCCTTGCTGCAAGGAGCTCAGGTAGCCTTGTGAGTGTGTATGTGTGTGTGTGTGTTGGTGTGTGTTTTATTCCCAGGTAGACCACGGTGAGTGCTCTCAAGTTAGTGTCAGGTGTCAGGTAGCTACTTGTCTTTGTGTCTTCAAGGCTGCCGATGCTTGGATAATGTTTACAGCTCAGAGAGCATAGCAGAGAGGGGGAAGGAGAGGGGAGAGAGCGCTTGTCTTTGATCTGATGCAGACTGTTTGATAGCGTGTTTGAGTGAGCGAGCGAGCGAGTTGAGAAAGGCAGAGAGAGAGATGGAGAATACGAGTGCATGCATACTTTCAGTCAGTGGCATGTCAAAATGTCTGATAACTGTGAGCGTGTTTGTTCGGGCCATTCGTCCAATCAATTGATTTTGATCCCCTCTTCAATCTAAAATAATAATTTTTGAGGCATTCCTGTCAATGAAGTCAGTAATCACGTTACACATCCAAAGGGATAATGATGAGTACAAAAACAAGTAGTTGCAGAGTACCTGAGATGCGTCACCTCTGGCATAAACAGTGTAGCATAATTATACAGCAAGTGATTCTAACCTACCAAACTGTGTTGTCAACTACACGTGTATAACAGCCTTTTATCAACAGTTAAGCAAAAAAAGATTAAACATAGTATAGAAAAAAGATCAACACATCACAACAAAATCATATCAAACTAACAGACATCATGCCACAGCAGCTAGTGTGTAAAAATGGGAAGTGTTCCCACACAGCATTTTGAAGATATTTAACCAATGTTAATTACTTTTACTCTGTTTTTTTAAGAAGGCCAACTTATTTAAATATCATATCATCGTGTTTCTGGTTTCAGTTTGCTGTGCTGAGATAACCTTATTTTACACTAATAACTGACGCTAAGGGATCAATAGTACTTATGCACAAAAATACACATCCACTGCTTTGTTTGCACTAGTTCTAACACATTTAAACAGTTTTACAAATACATACATATATGTACTATATAAACATATCATCACCATGTCTTTGTAATTTGTATATCTGCTTGATTAACTTATTTTACAGAAGCGAGTTTCAAAATTCATTTTGAGAAAGATCTGCTGCTTCAGTGTTAGATTGATATTGGAACTATTTCTCCTCCTATGGTGAAATGTGGATAATACAATAACCTTTAACTGTACACCCATTTATCAGGACTCTTAGAACAGATGCATGTTGAAAAAAAAAAAAAAACTTTTTTATTACAGCAAGCAGCGCCATGTATGGTTATCTGCATTATTGGGATAAAAGGGTAAAAGAATAAATGACATGAAGATTGACAGACCTAAAAGGGAAAAAGATTTAAAGAGAAAGACAGAAGACCAGACATGCAAGTTGTTTTTTTTACAGTGTGTGTTTTAGGGCTCCCCTGGGGCCAGACAATTAAAAAGCGTTTAAAAAGATGACAGAGCTCAGCAACTAAGAAAGGGGAGAGGTGGAGTTTGCAGGTGTATGAAGAGCATGTGCACAGTTTTGTATGTGTGTATATGTGCCCATGGGAATTAGTGTATCTTTCCACTTTATGTAGGTGTATGAAAGGATCATGCAAGGTATTTGTCTGGAGAGTCTGAACATTTGCTTGCGTGAGTCTGAGGTAGGGAAACCCGGTGCAAGGGAAAAAAATAACTAATCACTTGAAAACAATTCACGCAACATTTTTGCTCTGACAATAGACAGAGAGTGCAGCATAGGACATTCCACTACAAAGAGGAGGGAGAGAGCACACGAGAGAGCACACGAGAGAGCACACGAGAGAAAGAGAGAGAGAGAGGGAGAGAGAGATACTATGTGAAGAACAGAGAGAGGGAGAGCGAGAGAGATACTATGTGAAGAACAGCTCTGAAAGAGTTTTTGTGGGGCCATAACAAAGGCCCCTCAGAAAACACAGTGGCATAGGAATGTTAATTAATTAATGAGAAACTATTCAGCCTACAGAGAATGGTGTAGAAAGAAAAAGACAGGGAAGTACAGAGACTAACATACAAACCAGAAAGGTAGTCAAACTCATGCTGGGTGCAAAGACTTTAAGAACTGTGCAGTTTTAACATGTCAAATAGCATAGTGAGCCCACATTCTGGTATTTCTTTCTTTTTTTCTTCAACTGTGTATTTCTAAGTATTTTAAGGGAATTTGTTTGTCTTAAATGTACATTTGGCATCTTTGTTCTTGGCTTTGAATGTGCCTTTTTGGGTGCTTGAATCATTCTGCTGCTGCAATAGAAAGCCTCAGTTCCTCATGCCTTGCTTTCCAAGAACTAAGAGAACAGCCTTGTTTTCCCAAATCAACCCACAGGCACTTTTGAGTTAATCCAGTGGGGTTTGAAAATATTTTTATGAGCCCAAATGGCTGTCAGATTTTATCAGGACCATGTAATCCCTCTACTAAAACATGAAAATCACTCGACTTATGGGGTGTAATTTCAAGCTAACTCCATTAGGGATTTCTCAAATATATTGCTAGCATCAGTGAATGCAGGGCACTATTGTTATATCACCTTCAATTGGAAAGACTCATGGTCTCCTACTGCAGCTTTTTTATTGCTTTGTACTTGTGCTGCCGGGAGTTACGCCTGAAATAAAAGCAGGACTCAAGACAGAATGAAGTCGGCACTGCTTTAAATGGGAAGCCAGATTTTCTGTCTTTGATTTGATATAATTACAGTTCATCAGTAGGTGGATTGTACTTACAGGTGCAAAGCATGTATAGGTTAGCCGGGAAAGATATGAAAACAGTCACATTATATGGATATTCTTGTCCAGCTGTTTGCTGACCTCATTTTTCCTCAATGTCACACAAGCTGGGTTTTCATATTTCATTCTACATAAACATGAACTGTGTGTTGCAATATAAGCAAAGAGGCTCAGAAGGGCGCCTATTTTCAAGATTGGGTGGAAAAATTGCAAGTGAGCACAGATAGACTGTGAAATACAGATAGGCTTTGGCCCGGGGCAGCTGACACTTCTTCACAAATCCACACTTCTCCCTCTATAGACCGGAGTGTGTGTGTATGTGAAATGGATACGCGAGTGCTCGTATGTGAGTAATCTGTTATTTGCTATGGGTGTCCATGTGTGTGTGTGCAGGCAAGTGCGTGTGTCTCCGCGTGTGCGATCGCGACATTCCAGCAACAGAAACCTGAGAAGGTGTGACTTACGAGACACTGGATTCTGCTCTTTCTGGGGACTGAGGGGTGCTGAAGTGTCAGAATTCCAATTTCCTCCAAATAGTCACTCATAGTCACACACTCTGACCCTCTGCATCTCTCTAATACAGCCAAACACACTCCTCTGCCTTCACTTATCCTCAAGATCTCCCTTTTTTCTCTTTTCTCTCAGCTTTATATTTCTCACAATTCCATTCATTAATTCTCACAAGGAGGAATCTTGTCTTCCACCATTTCCCGGTGCAACCCCGTCCTCCTCTTCTCTTCTCTTCTCTTCGATTCCTCAAACTCAACCCCTTACTCTCTCTCTTCACACGGAGCTTCCAGGCACACAGTAAAACTAGGGGAAAAGGGAAGAGAGGGGAAAAGAGAGGGAAGAGTTTTGAGAATCACAGACCACTCCCACTTTCCGGAGATGCTCCAGCCCATCCCTAAATTGCGGGCCAATGAGGGTGGCTCATTCACAACTCATGCGCTCCTTCTTCAATAGGTAAGGAGAGAGAGACAGAGAGGGCAAGAGATATATACAAGGACAGAGAGACAGAAGAGGGAGAAGGAGTGAGTGCGTCTGGGTGAGAAAGACAGTGAGAAAGGAGAAGGCAGAGAAAGGGAAGACAAGGAAAGGGGGGAAAAAAGAAGTTTGAGTTAAGTTAACCTCCAGGGATGAAGAAGTGATGAAGCGATAGAACTTGGGACAGGGGCAGTTTTTTTTTTGTGTGGACAACCTGCACAGGGGAAAAAAAGGCAGTAAAGGGACTTCAGGAGAGGACGATTTGGGAAAGAAACATTGGAGCTTCCTCACTTCATAAGAGCTGCCTCTTTAAACATCAGGAGGATAAAGAAGCCGCTGTGAGACAGAAATCCCAACAGGTGTAGATGCAGACAGGTGATCGGTCAGATATGCTTTCTGCACTTCTGCTTCTCTGCATGGCTCCAGGAGTTTGGGGTTCTGCACCTGAAGTGTGGGGGTATGGAGAGATCCCGAACAGGCAGGAGCCGGCCAAAGCGCTGTGCCCGTCTCCGTGCCAATGTGAGGAAGATGGGATCTTTGTCATGGTGGACTGCTCCGAGTTGGGACTATCGTCTGTGCCAACTGAGCTCAGCCCTCTCACCACTTACCTGTGAGTAACGCACTTCCTGTCCCATTTCACACTAACCATTCAACCTCCACGCCTCTCACTGTGTCATTAAAGTGTCTTTGACCTTAATTATACTTTTTCTTGCATTCCTACTTTGTATTGCATTACTTCATCATTCTACCGAAACCCCTGAACTTCTCTTAGGTCCTTAAATTTGCCCACCAGTCTTGAGTTTCAACTTATCAATCTTTATCATTTTTATATATTGTCCAAATGCCTCAATTTAATGTCATTGAATGGTATCAGAGGTTCCTCTTTTAAAACAAATTTTAATTACATGCGTCCTGGAAGCAGCACCACAACCTGGATGAAGATAGAAACAGCAGGGTCGATCAGGAGCATGTGTTTGTGTGTGTTTGTGTTTGTGTGTTGAACAATATGGCAAAAATGATTGGACCACTTCTTTTAGTATCAGGTTTCCCAGCGCCAACTGGAGACTCAGCGTGAGAGAGACCGGGTGTGCGCATGTGTATGCCTCTTGTGTACATGCATGTGAGTCTGTAAGCTGCAAGCACATGACAGGCATATGTTTTTGTGCGTATGATGTATCAAAGTGTGTGAGTTAATCACCTGTTTAATGCCTTCAATCTGTGCCATTGTTCTTGGACACTAAAAGTGAATGGTTAAAGAGGTAGACATTGGTCCACTGTGGCAAGGGGAAGTGTTCTAATGGTCTATTTTCTTTTAATTGATAATCTAATATAGTTATCTATTTTAAGGACTTGCATTGATTGAATAAAATGTTTTTTTTCCTTCAGTTTTACAGGCTGGCTATAAGTGGCCCAGAGTTTAAATCCAAATTACAAACATAATAATCAGTTTTTAGCATGCATAGTTTCAGAGAATAAATTCCACCTAAGCCATGAATTTTAAGCGGCTATAAGAGAAACTTTTAGTCATTGAAATAAATGGCGATCTGAGGAGTTTCTTACACCACCCTGCTGTGGCTTACAGCCAGACCCAACCGATTGCTTCACTGCCTCTGAGGACAGATTAGAAACACTTTGCGATAACTGATATTGAAGTGATAGAAGTCAAATCCAGGAAACAGGGTGTGATAGAGCAGTTGCTCACTAGGGGCTCTACAAGTATTACAAGAGAGGAGGGACAGAATTCAGACGGGAGTACGCAAAGATCAACAGTTTATGTAAGAAACGAGGCTAAAAAACACACATAAAAGACAACCCTACTTGAGTGATGCTGGACTTTGGCTGTCATGGGAAGCCTGCTTGCTAGATCTAAGAGTGTTCATTTTGAAGTTAAAAAACATGAAGAGTTTATGGAGGGGAAATTTGGACCCCAACTCCGTCCAGGAATCACTCTATGAGAGTATCAGGCGGTTTACTCAACAATGAGGCAACATCACACAACCAAGCCAGAACACTCACTAACACTCTTGCACACAGGGAGAGGTGTATCGGAGAATGTTGAGCTCTCAGTTCTCCGCTAAAATGAAAAGAGTGATGACCTGAGAGTCCCTCTGTGAAAGCCGCCACTCCTCCTAACTGCTCCACCACAGCCGCACTCGCACAGATATACACACACAAACACACATCACTCCCTACAAACACAAGAGTAATTGCTCATTTCCCCTTCTTACCTAACAGTGGAACTGGACCAATTAGTGAGTTTGAGGGCTGATTAAGAATAAGATAAATATACTCAGCGACCAACCGCACACACACAGAAACACAAGTTGCTGCAGTGGGGAGAAGAAGGGTATACAGGCAGGAGAGATGCTGCAGCCAGGGCTGGAAATAGTACTGATGTAGTCTACTCAAAAAGAGTACTTTGATAAAAAAATGTTTTACTCAAGTTCAAGTACAATGACCAGTCTTTGAATCCACTCAAGTAGAAGTCAAAAGTGCTTCACTTGAAATGCTTTGATTAATGAGTACTTACTTTTATCATGAGGGGGTAGAAATAAACAACAAGATATCTTTCCTTTCTGTGTGGTGAAAAGAGGGTATGAATGTCAAACCAGGTTGTTTGATTTAAATGAACACACTTACAACAAAGTGCAAGGCAACAGCAAATGTTGGATGTAATGATGAGTCATAAACCTTGCTCTGTAGCATTAAATCCTAAAAAGTATTCCCTATGTGTTGTGTCCACTTTCTGAGCAGTTCACTCTGAACTTGTCGTAAAGTTTGAAAAGCTGCTGGTCATTCTTGCACTTGAAGCTGAACTGGTCGCTTCAGTGTTCTTCGAGTTCATCTTCAACTCGATCTGATGCTTTCAGCTATAGGCGCACATTTTGGTGTGAGTCGTCCTGTCCCGTCTTTCTCGTTGTGATAGGTGTGAGCATGCATGTGCTTCTCCTCCGTGAGATGTCTGTAAACCTGACAGTCGTGGTGGACATTAGCCAAACAACTGGCCAGTTTCGTTCTTTTCATTTGAGTTTTTACTCAGTAACGAATGCCTTGTACAATACTCAATACACAAAATATACTATAAAAATAAAATTACAGATATTAAAAACTACTCAAAATAGTACAAGTACAAAAAACAGCCACTCACTTAAGGTGATGTGAGTAAATGTCATTTGATACTTTCTACCCCTGACTGCAGAAAATGTAGATATGATAGAGAATCACAAATTTGTCTGATGGCCTTCTGAAAAAACAATCATAATAACCTCCCTACCTAACCCTGCACATATGCATGCCTGTACACACGTACACCCACACACACACACACACACACATTTGCACACTCGCACACATACACACATTACCCCAAATTGAACACAGCTTGCTACAATGTCTCATTTTGTCTTGGAGTATGAAAGGTTACAACAGCAGAGATCCAGTACAATCCCCACCAGGATCTGTTGAACCATCCAGCACTCCCTGCTGTGCTATGAAGGGTGGATTAGACTGCCGAGGTCACACGGATTTGCTTGGGAACAGTCCACATTACAAACCACGTCCGCACAGTGCTGTGAAAGTATATGACATCATCCATCAGTGTCATCGGAGAACTCTTCAAAGTGAGCGAAACTGTATGTGCTGTAGTGACCGAGAGGGCAATCCAGGCTATGCATGATTCACTCATTATTGTAGGATTTAAATACACATTTCAACGATCCCATGTCGTATAGGTGAATGCACAAGTGAATACTAATTACCTACGCTTGTGTATAATAACGCTGAGGTGAATAGAGGCTGACTCTGCAAAGGAATTCATCTCATTCAGAGGTAAAGGTGCTTAGAGCAACTCTGCAGAGAGCAGGTAGAGATTTATGACAATAATCGTTTCCGTGGGCAACACATGAAATGAGCTGTCATGTGAGACGCTTTGAAAAGACCTTCTCTTTGATATCAGATTAGAGAGGAAAGACAGTGCCCAAGGGTGTGTGCCTGTGTGTGTGTGTGTGTGTGTGTGTGTGTGTGTGTGTGTGTGTGTGTGTGTGTGTGTGTGTGTGTGTGTGTGTGTGTGTAAAAGTGTGTAAAAGTGTGTAAATGTGTGTTAAGATTCAGAACACTGTGTACAGTATGCGCATCAGGGGCAGGTGCTATTTTATGTGTTGCTTCATGTGAGGTTACTTGTCATAAAATATGGCTTCACATTGACAATAAGTAGCTTGTGGAGTTGGGAGCATTTGGATCAGTGAGCTAAGGCCTTGACCTCTACATATTTAAAACAAACAACTAATATGTTCATGATTTAGCTGGTATGATATATGTGCACATATATTTCTTACGTTGTCAGGTGCTTCGAACATCTCACACTTCCTACAGTGGTCTTGGGTGTGCGGAGAAGTGGGAAAAGTGTATATGAGAATTGTGTGTGTGTGTGTGTGTGTGTGTGTGTGTGTGTGTGTGTGTGTGTGTGTGTGTGTGTCCGGGGCTGGTCTGTGACTGGAGTTGAGCGGTGATTAGGTGATGCTTTGTGGTAGCGGTGAGCAGCGTTTTGTCTTTTTTTTTTTTTTTGCCAAGGCCAGGAAACCACAGCTAGCGCATTACCAGACAGAGGAAAACCAAGGAGTGTGTGAGTGTGCACACTGGTGATGTGTGTGTGTGTTTGTGTGTGTGTGTGCGAAGACCACCCAGTGTGTTGAGGTTTTTTTTTTTCTAGCCACTGGAGTTGAAGCGATGAAGTAAAAAAAAAAAAAAAAAAAAATGAAAACATGGAGGATACAAGAATAGGGTCAAAGATTCCAAGGATTCGAAATTGGTGTGAGATAAAATGAATATTTTTAGCTGAGTGGGCATAGACACAGATCAACACATACACACACCTACACACACACCTACTTACACGTACATACACATGCAAGAGAAAACATCCTGCCCCTGTATGGTGGGCACGACTGTAACAGTTGTGTGCGTGTCATTTAGCCATTATGTTGATGGAATGATTCCTATCATAAGCGACCGGGGGTCACACTGTAAACATCATGCTTGAGAGAGAGAGAAATTGTAAAAGATGCGGAGGCGGGCGTCTGAGGCGTAAAATGATAAAAATAAAAGCACTGCAAAGGAAAAATGAACAGTGTGTGTGTGTGTGTGTGTGTGTGTGTGTGTGTGTGTGTGTGTGCTGTCAGCGGAGGGTCCTCTATAGAGCAGTTATCAGCTCCAGCATCAGTGTTCTGGCTCCAGACGTCTATGGTTGCCCCCCACCTCAACTATACTTCCCTCCCATAGCACAGTCTTTCTATCTTCTCTCAGCTAGCTATTCTCCTTTCCTCACCTGTTTCCTCTGCCCTCCTTAGGATAGAACAAGTCTCTTTATACTCTGTATACTTTAAGAGCTTGAGCGAGCATGCCTGTGTGTGAGTGTGAGTGCGAGTGTGTGTATTTGTATTCAAAGCAGGTGTTGTAGCCATTCATGCAGCACTAAGTGTAAATGTATGATCACTGATGTGCAATGTGTTTCTTGGAAAATCAAACTAAATGCATCTAGCTCAGGGCAAAGTGAGGAAGTGAAGGGTGTGTTCACAATTTTTCAAGGTGCGTGTGTATGGGTGTGTGTCAGTT